ATGTTCCCGTACCAGTGAGACAAAGAAGTGCCCGTGATGTCAAGAATATTGCTGCCGTCAGCAGCGATGAGACTCATTCATTTATGGCCAAATGGCTTCGTCAACAAGAAAATATATGTTATGGATCAGGCGGCAATACACGTATTCCATGAGTCGCCATTGTATTCCGAAAAATTACGTATTGGTACGAATTATGTGGCGACTGCGTCATTGGGTCTTACTGCTTCCGTTACGATCAAGACCGGCACGTTACTGTGAATGGGAATCASTACCACTCAATGATAACCGAATATTTTTGGTCCAAATTGGATGACATAGACTTGTAAAATAAGTGGTTCCAACAGAACGACACCACAAGCCATACAGCGAAAGTCACAATCGATTTATTGGAAACCAAGTTTTGTGAAGGCTTAATATCACGAAATGACTCAGTCAATTGGCCGCCTCGGTCCTGCGATTTGACGCCCATTTTCTGTGAGGCTATGTCAAGTCCATGTTCTATGCCAGCAAGTCAGCGACGATTCATGTACTTCGTTCGAATATCGAACGTGAAAAAATATATATTATGATCGTTATGTAATTCTCTGCTAATCGTCAAAACTTTTGCACTTCCCTGTTTTAGGATAATACCTAATTGAAGAATTGCGACGGATTCCAAAAGTGTATGTACACATGTTAGACCATATATATAGATTGGTTTACGATACTTGCCTTTATCCACAAATATTTATAGCCTTAAAATACCATTATGTTTGAAACTTTGGCACGCACAGCATTTAGAGATACAAATCTAAGCTTTGTATGTCTGTCAGTGTTTATATTCGTTTACTCATAAGCAGTTGTATTTAACCATAAAAGCTTACACACGTAATCCACGTACCTTTCTTAAAAGTTTTAAACTTTTCTATGCTCCCGGAAATGTAAACACACTCACTTGCCACATGCGTACGTGCGCCCAGGCGCCCAGGCGCTCAGGCGAGACGATAAATTCTCGACGCTAAAATGTCACGTACAATGAACATAAGTAAATTTGTTTTAGAGTTTCACATGATTTGTTGTTATTGTATACCCGCACAAAGCTGCTTAAATACCTTGCTTACGTATTCACCTCACTTCTCTTCTCTGCTCTACACATTACTTTCAGGTGCTTCGCATTGCATTTCCGCATTTGGAGTGAAAGCAACTGGGGCGAATAAATCAAAAGAAACAGTAATAGCGATATAACAGCCGCACAGTAAGTGAAATAACATTTYGATATGTATGTATATACAAAGCAGTTAAATATATGCGTGTGCTCAATTCGAAAGTAAGCCTATTTATTTTTGCGCTCTTTAACTAAGTGCGGTTGRTAATAGATATGCGWATGTGTGTGTATATGTTTGTTTACTTTTACTGTATCAGGTGCTTTGTTTTTGTTTTCGATTACCTCAGCTTATTTTAAAGCCAGATTAGCCAGTAGGGTTTCCTCCTCCATATGTAGGACGCATTAAATAAGATGGCAAAGTAACTGGTGAGTGGATTTAAGTCTGCGGGGGATATAATTTCATTTAAATAGAAATTCTTTGGGGAAATTAGTGTATAAAAAAGTAGATAAAGTACACTAACTCAATATTTCTGAATCGAATGTGAGCGCAAGATATATATTTATATGATAGTCGAAAAAGTCTTTTCGTATTTCTAATCAAATGTAAACTTATTTTTTTATATTCATAATGAACTTTAATGAACCAAATATATACCATTTTGGTCAACCACTTTTTGCCATTTTTCGATAGAGACATTATTCCATCAGTGTAAAACTTTTCTGGTTTCTCGGCGCAAAATTGCGACAAGTAATTTTCACAGGCCTCTTTTGAACCTAACTTTACTCCATTAAGGGAGTTCTACATTGACCGAATCAAATGGCAGTCTGATGGTGCCAGGACAGGGCTATAATATATGGTGGATGTATCAAAACTTCCCAGCCAAGCTCTACCAGTTTTTGCCGAGTCATCACTGGATATGTGTTATCTAGCGTTGGCTTAATGGAAAACGAAGCCCTTTCTGTTGATCAGTTCTGGCCGTTTTTTTTTTTCGATTGCTTGCTTCAATCTCATCAGTTATTGACATTTAAATGTAGAAGCAATCGTTCGATCAGGTTGGGATGCCTCCTTACAAATCCCACCATACACACAGCTTAACTTTTCGAGAAGTCAATTCTATCTTTGCGATCATCTGTTAAGCTTCAGCACGCTTATACCATGATCTTTTTCGTACAATATTGTCGAATTTGATCCGCTTTTCGTATCCASTTATCATTCACTTCAGAAATTGTTCGATTTCATTTCGTTTCAGCAAAGAATCGCAGATGTTAATTCGGTCCATTAWATTTTTCWYAGAAAAATCATTTCTTCAGTCTTTGTTAAATGGTCCAAAACCGTTTGATGATGAATGYTATGTCCCTTAGCGATGTCATGGCTGCYTATGTRACAGTCCAGGTCAATCTTTTCCATAATTTCATCGACTTTTTCAAYGATAGGTCGACCAGAGCTARTTGCATCTTTCAGATYRAAATTWTCAGAACGAAGRATTTTTGTTTTCTTTTAACCGTTTTCACTCGGTACCGCCACAAGTACCTAAATTCWAAAAGAGTAAATAGCAAGCAATTTATTTCGCAGCAAGAGCATTGCAGGCATTGATTGAAATGCTAAACACCAAATTAATTATCAGTCGCCAGCCAGAAAACAATAAAATAATATTTATTTTTCCGCTTTATTTGAACTAAACAAAACTCAAAATTAATTGTTAAAATGAAAAAAGCACTTATTTGTATACAGTTTTSAAATAGATTTTATTTAGTTAATCTTTTTTATATTTTTACGTACATAGACACTTTCGTGTATATGCATCTGTATATAAATGCTTAATCTTATATAAACAAACATTGCAGCGTGTATTTTTTGTGTTTGAGAAATTCAAGTGTATTTGTTTGAACTATCGAATGTATTTTCTTATATAAATAAACAAATAGTTTCATTAGCAACTAAAATAATAGAAACTCGCATTACTCATACGCACCGGCAAACGGGTTGTTAGTGCTCATAGCATACACTTTTCGACATTTTAAAGCAGTTAAGCGGTGTATTTTAAATTGTATAAAAAATGCACCAAAACCAAATTTGTTGTAACAAGAAAAAATAGAGCAAGCTTTAATACCCTTCACAAATAAAATAGTTCTTTAAATAAGAAATAATTTTTTTTCGGTTAATTTTTATGGTAGCTATATGCTATAGTGAACCGATCCGAATGATATATTGGAAAATTTTAGCGTTGCTTTAAATAATAATTTATATCAAATTTCGTGAACACATTTAGTCACATTAAAAAGTTTTCCATAGAAAAACTTTATTTTGATTAATTAGTTTATATGCAGCAATATGCTACAGCAGTCCGATCTAAATAATTTCTGCGGATATTGTAGCTTTGCCTTTAATAATAATGTTTGCCAAATTTTGTTAAGGTATTTTGTTAAATAAAAACTTTTCCATACATGGATTTGATTTTGATCGAAGAATTTATATGGCTATAGGGATCCGATATCGGTGGTACCGCGAAATTAGATGCTTTCTTGGTAGAAAATGAAATATTCAAAATTTCAGATTAATATCTCAATAACTGAGGGTCTAATTTGCGTAGATATACAGATTATTAAGAATCTGCCGAGTTTTCGATTAGCATGCAGCGAAAATAAACCTGGAACTCGGCACTTCGTCGATGTCGAACCCACAAGAAGTGGCTTTATTCACGAATTCCTCTTAGGGAGGGCTTTTAGTTGCCTTTAGTTGCCTTTATTGCTACCAAAGTAACAAATAGTGTAACAGTCAATGTCTCCTTTCGAATTTTAACTCTGTAATGTTAAATAATCACCATCTCATACTCATCACTAAGAATACCAACAGTAATTAAGCCACATATATAAATTCATCCAACTCACCTCACTTCCTAACATACACCAATTTTTTCTTCACTTCTTTGCCGTGGCCMAGCTCTTTCAGCCAATTTAGCTTTTGGAATTCGGCAAATATTTATTTTTGTTTTAATTTCACTACCAGCAAGCTGCCCAATTGACTTACACGCTTTTAGCGCTTTCACACAAATCTCTCCCTTATAACCGCACCGAAACAGTCCCGCACAACTGTGTGCCTGTTCTCAAAATAAGCGCAAGGGAGCACACAACCGAAAGCGCCAATCAATTGGCCTTCTTGCAGTCGCCAATTTGAAGCAGTAACCCAACGCAAACAGTGCTGATTGTGCTCAAGTCAGCTTGGACGTTGGCATTATGGTTGTTATTGTTGTACTCACACTATAATGCAATGCTTTTTCGCAAGGTTGTTGTTTTCGAGGAAAATTACTTGCGAGGGATATTTTTTGTGTGAAAATTTGCAGCTCCAACAAAGCAGCGTTTATTATTTTTATTTTTTAAGCGCAGCACCTTTAAATCGAATATRATTTTATATTTGCAATTTAGTTCCATATAATTATTGCTAGCAAATTGAATCGCCAGTAAAGCACACTAACTGAATAGGAATATGCGAAAGCGTTAAACAACCACCTTCAAGATTTTCAGTGAAATGAAAAATCACCAAATCAATAAATGACCATCGGCCAAAAATTCTGCTGTTAAGTAACAAAAGTAATCTCTTCAAAATATTTCCTCCTCATAAATTATATTTACACTAAGAAGGTCATTTGCAAAGCAAGCAGACTCAGCGACACAGAAACCAGAAAATTCACTTACTCGGTACAGCTTTCCAAAGTCATTGCGTACTTTCACCTGAGGTTGAGTGAATTTACATGAAATTCAATTGAAATAAAAGCATAACGTTGGATAAAGCARAGAGCGGCAGCCGAAAAAGTGTGAGCTAAAATAAATGTGAAAATATACATAATCCGCTCACAAAATTATAGACTARCACACACCGAAGTGTATAAGAACAACAAACGATTTTACGATTTGGAGTAAAACTAAAATAACGAACGCTTGTCGAGAAATTCTAYGATGAATTCTACGAATGAAATGGATGAAAACACGGCCGTAATTCAACATTGGCACACAAATCCAAGTGTGTTCTAAATATACTATACCTTTCTTATATAATATATGTGTGTGCGCATTTTTACTGTTAAGTAAAATTATGGTTGAAGGCCTGTGGATGTGTTTAGTTTTAGTTGGTGAGATAACAAGTGGCTGGACTTAGCTTTTCTATTTTGCTAAAAAAGAGTAAGATTTTATAATTTATCACATATTTGGTTTTTTTTTCGTATTTCTTATCAAACTTCAACTTATTTTTTTTTATAATTTTTTATAATGACCTTTAATGAACCAAACAGGTACAATTTTTGTCGATCATTGTAAAACTTTATTTTCTCGACGAAAAACTACGACAACTAATTTTCACAGGCTCTCTTGACGCCAACTTTACTCCATTAATGGTGTACTGCCTGGCCCGATAAAAATGTTAGTCCAAAGGTGCAAGGTCGCTTCAGAAATGGTTCGATTTAATTTCGTTTCAGCAAAGAATCGCAAATGTTAATTCGGTCCATTAAATTTTTCACAGACAATTCATGTAGTACTCAAACAAGCAAGAGCCTGTTAAAAGCCACACAACGAGGAAGAGGCTAGCCTTACTGAGGGCAAAATGATTTTTAGATCTCTTACGATGGATCTTGGACCAAAGAGTTTTTGCTACAGTGCATGTACCGATGGTGGGCTAGCACTTGCCAAGCATCCGCGAATTGCCGCTATTTAGTGGTAGAACATAAGAGGATACGGACGCACCGAACCACTCCCATTCTATCRATAGCAGTTCAAGGATGCCTTTTCTTGCTAACTCATCAGTTTTACAGTTTTCTGCAATTCCGCTGTGGCCTATCACCCATACCAGTCTTACCAAAAGGATACTCGATGTTATTGATAGCGAGGTTATTCACTCTTTGATCAGCTCTGAACGCACTGTTAATGAGTTCAAGGCTGGTGGATGGTCACTTCTCTCAAGGAGGTTGCACTCTGAAGCCTAGAAGAGACTGCAATAGTCCGGAAGTCTGAAGGATTGTTTTTGGAGGTCATATCTGTAATCCAAAAATGTAATGTATAATCCAAAATGCATTCCTTTGGGWTGCTGAGAAAGTCGGTCCCTTGATCGAAAAAAAAACTTCAAAAATGGACAAAACGAAATGTTTTAACCTCAATCTTTC